AGCGTGGGGGTACAGATGAAACAAGACTGACCATGAATTGATAATTATTAAAGCAGGTGATGGATACGTGTGGGTTCATTATAGTTTATCTTTTTTTTTTTTTTTGCATATGTTTTAAATTCTTCATAATACAATAAGCTGGGATTTTGTTTTGTTTTCCGTTTTTAAGGGGAACCAGTAAAGCCCAAGGCCCAAAGGCCAGGGAGAAAAACAAAGGGGGAAAAGGAAAGCATGCATGGGCTTCTGACTCACGTGCACGTAGTGGCCCACATCCTCCTGGAAGAGCAGAAAGGAGAGCAGCCCACCCCGGGTGAGGTCCCCAGCCAGGATCTGCTGCAGCCCACAGTGCAGCATCAGCACTTGCATCCCCAAGTGCAGCATCTGAAGCGGAGAAGAAAGGCGAGGCTGAGAAAGACTATTCCCATTCTTCCTCCTCCCTGCCCCTACCATGCTGAACAGCAAGGGACCCCAAGACCAGCTGTAGGTTTCCCATGGCTTTCCCTGTCCTTCTCCGGGCCCTTCCCACCAGCCATTCAGCTTTCTCACCCTCCGTAAGAGCAGGTAGAGGGCCCGTTCCAGGTCTCGTCGCCACCACAGCTGCCGGCATTGTTCAAGGGCCTCCTTATAGCGACAGACCTCGTGCTCCTCAGCCCCAAAACTGCGCACAGTCTGCAGCCCTCCAACTGCCTCCCGCACCACCTGCCTTGCTTTTGCCACTGCATCCTGGATCTCCAGAAGCACTGCCTGGAAAAGTGGGGCAGGAGATATAAGGGGTTGATTCGGCAGAAGGCAGCAGAGCCCCATGTCTCATTCCAGACCCTGGGATGCTCTTTAATCTACATAAAAATATCACACTCCTCTTTCCCTCTTCCTTACATTTATTTCCAGTAGGAATAATGAGAGGGAAGGAGAGAAGGAACAAATTATCACTGAGCTCTAGGTACTAGATAATGTGGGAGATACTATGCTTTTTAACCCTCATTTGAGCTAATTTGAACTTATCTCCAGGGTCTGAATGAACAAAAAAGAGGTAGTTTTCCCAAGGAGCCACAGCTAGTTAACAGAAGGTGGAGATGTAACTTCAAATAGATCGAAGACCTAAACCTAAGAGCTAAAACTAAAAAACTCTTAGAGGAAAATACAGGAGGAGAGCTTCACGACACCAGAGTTGGCAATGGTTTCTCGAATATGACACCTAAAGCACAGGCAACAAAATAAAAAAAATAGATAAATTGGATTTCATCAAAATTAAAAACTTTTGTACATCAAAGGGCTGAATAGAGTGAAAAGGAAATCCACAGAATAGGGAAGAACACTTGTAAATCATATATCTGATAAAGGGATAATACCCAGAATATATAAAGAACTCCTACAACTCAACAATTTAAAAATAACTCAATTTAAAAATGAGCAAAGGACTTGAATAAACATTTCTCCAAAAAAGATTTTTTAAATTGTCAATAAGCACATGAAATGATGCTCAACATCACTAATCATTAGAAAAATGCAAATCAAAGCATAATGAGATATCACCTCACAATTGTTATGATGGATGTTACTTTTGTTAAAGTGATATATGTGTGAATATTATTTAGCCATTAAAAATAAGATCCTGCCTTTCGTGAGAACATGGATGGACCTTTAAGGGCATGATGCTAAGTGAGATAAAGCAAACAGAGAAACACGAAAACTGTATGATCAAATTTACACGTGGAATCTGAAAAAACAAACACTATATTCATAAGATAAAAGATTAGATTATGGTTAGCAGGGGTGGGTGTAGGGTAGGAAAATTGGGTGAAGGTGATCAAAATGTATAAATTTCCAGTTATAAGATTAATAAACACTAGGAATATAATAAAAAAATTTTTAAAAAAACACAGAAGATAACAAGTGTTGGAGAAGGATGTGGAGAAAATGAAACCCTGTGCATTGCTAGTGAGATTATAAAATTGTGCAGCTGCTGTGAAAAACAGCATAATGGCACTTCGAAAAAAATTAAAAATAAAGTTATCATACAATCCAGCAATCCTACTTTGGGACTCAAACAGATATTTGTACACCCATGTTCATAGCAGCATTGTTCACAATAGCCAAAAGGTAAAAGCAATCTAAGTGCCAACGACAAATGAGTGGATAAACAAAATATGCTTTCTGCATCAATGGCCTTAAAAAGAAAAAAAAATTCTAACACACGCTATCACATGAATGAAGCTCGAAGACATTATGCTAAGTGAAATAAGCCAGTCACGAAGACAAATACCGTATGAACCCATTTATAAGATACCTTAAGTAATCAAACTCATAGAGATAGAAAGTAGAATGATTGTTGCCAGGGGCTAGGGGGAAAGGGAATGGGGAATTATTGTTTAATGGGTACGGAGTTTCAGTTTGGGAAGATGAAAAAAAGTCCTAGAGATGGTTGGTGGTTATGGCTGCACAACAATATCAGTGTATTTAATGCCACTGAAAGGGCACATTTGTAAATGGTTAAAATGGTAAATTTTGTGTTACACATATTTTATTACAATTTGTTGTTTTTAAAAGAGAGAGAAGGTGGAGCTAACATTTCGGACTCAGGTGCTCCTGACTGCATGTGCTGCTTTCTCTATGCTCTTGCTGCTGGTTATAAAGGGGAAACTCCCTCCCTAAAACTCTCTAAGGTGGCATTTTTAATCTTTTGTGGGAAAGGTATATACAGATTCCTTTGAGAATCTGATGAAAATTACCCTCTCTCCAGGAAAAAAAATGTGCCCGCCCTCTCTCCCTCCCTCCATGTCTCTCAAGCGTGGGTGCATGTGTGTGTGCGCGCGCACACACACACACACACACGCTTCAATAAGGTCCCAAGGGTAATGGACATTCTCGCACACACACACACACACACACACACACGCTTGCATAAAGTCCCAAGGGTAATGGACATTCCGAAGGCTGTCAAAACTGCTGCCCTAAGGGCTGAGAAGACCTCCAGGAGAGCTTGACTCCACTCTAGGGGTTCCCTAACAGCCACATATACCTGATGGCGGACATTGTACACCTTTTCAGCTGCTATTGTGAGAGGCGCCTCGAGCAGAGCGAGGAGGGTCAGTCGAGGTGACAAGTTGAACATGAAGCTGTACAGTCCCACCACTTTTACCAGACTTCTCGAGATCACATTGGCATTATAAGGAAGCCAGCAACTCATCAATTTGGTATCTGAGTTCAGCCTGGAATTCAGCTCTCCTGGGGAGGACAGAGTCGGTGAGGAATCCATGTGTAATACAGAACCCCCAGAAACTCCCTCCTGACCTTCCCCTCTGACACAGGCCCCTCCTCCAAAGAGCCTCCCTCACTTGCAGACACCAGTGGAGGCTTCCTCACTACCCTGTCCCAAAAGAGAGAAATGCAGCTCCAGGCCCTGTCCCTGTGGATGCAGGCACAGGGTGAGGCTGCGTGTAGGGGAAGGGTAACTGAGCAGCAAGGGGTCCAGGGGAATCCCAGACCTGGAATCCAGGCCCCACCTGTCTTAGTCTCCTGGAAGAAACCGAGGTCCTGGCGCAGAAGGGAGGAGAAAAGCTGCTCCCGGATCCGTAAATTGATTCTGGACATGATGAAGGTAAAAGTGCCTCCTCTGCAGCCTGCAGACAGTGAGCTGCAGGGTAGGGAGGGGACAGGAGCGTGAAGGAGAGAGAGATACAGGGGAGGAGGGAATGAGTGATCGAAGCAGAGGAGAAAGCACAGCATGAAAAGAAACACAAAGTTGGGGGAAGTATGCCATAAGAGGCGAGAGAGAAACAAATCAGAGAG